TGGGTCGCTTAACATGCTGAACAATGGGTCGCTTAACATGCTGGGTCGCCATGAATGGGTCGCTTAACATGCTGAACAATGTTACAGGTAGCAAAATGTTCTCCATGGCTTTTCCTGACCCTTTCACATCTGTCACTGTGAAACTGCTCAGGGTGAACTTGCTATCATCTGTGAAAAGCACCGGGTGCCAGTGGCAGACCTGCCAATTCCGGTATTCTATTGCAAATGCCAATCGAGCTCCACGGTGCCAGGCAGTGAGCACAGGACCCACTAGAGGACGTCGGGCCCTCAGGCCACCCTCATGAAGTCTGCTTTTGATTGTTTGGTCAGAGACATTCACACCAGTGGCCTGCTGGAGGTCATTTTGTAGGGCTCTGGCAGTGCTCATCCTGTTCCTCCTTGCACAAAGGAGCAGATACCGGTCCTGCTGATGGGTTAAGGACCTTCTACGGCCCTGTCCAGCTCTCCTAGAGTAACTGCCTGTCTCCTGGAATCTCCTCCATATCATTGAGACTGTACTGGGAGACACCTACTGTGGCCAAATGCAAAACTAGTGAAAAAAGGCCAGTGGCCTTCACCTGTTTCGGGGGTCGTCTTATTGATCCCCTCTGGTGCACCTGTTGTTTCCTTAACACCAAAGCAGCTGAAACTGATTAACAACCCCCTTTGCTTCTTAACTGACCAGATCAATATCCCAGAAGTTTAATTACCTTGATGCTATACTCTGATTAAAAAGTGTCCCTTTCATTTATTTGAGCAGTGTATAATATCTTTAACTCAAATACTTAATTTGGAAACTGCTTTCGATTAGACCAAAACAATAAAGTTGGGTTTAAAATGCTCAGAGAAATTCTAACATGGGCTATAGCTTAATTAAAACTATGTTAATATAATAATTTCAATATAGTCCCCAAGACAAGCATTGAAAAACAATTAAAGGTAACAACTGAAGAACAAGGATATACTTGTTAATGCGTTAAATTATGAGATCTCCCATTTCGTCCATTAGCCACAGCCGGGCATTTAAATCCAATCCTTTTTCTTGTTTTAAAATAAAATTCATCAGAAACTGCTGTGCTTAGACAACTATGGAACATGACATTGTAACTGGATAGTTCACAGAGGTAAAAGCAAAACCCTTTTAAATGCACAACTCCAGCTAAAGTTACAACACTTAATTTCTTAACATGAAATAATGGTTAACCACAAGCCACAGTCCTGCTGCAGAATGTCAGTCTTTAATAGTTTGTTAAATAGTCTCTAACCTGAGCAAATGAAGCAAAGAATCATGTCAATGCCCAGTTTTCCAGTCCCTTGGGACGATGTTCCAACCAAACCCTATATTTTTGTATTATACTACATTAAATACACACACACTTATACATATTAAATAAATAAATATATGTGTGTGTGTGTGTGTGTGTGCGCGCGCACACACACATTATATATATATATATATATATATATTCAAATTTGTAACTAGTTACCTAAAACTATTAGGATACATAGCAGTCTAACTTCCTTTCTGAGGCCCAATAATGGGCAGTGAACAGTGAGTGTGATTCTCGGCACCCCCCTGCTATGGGACACTAAGATCCGGGTGTAGTCTGTCCCCTAATTCATTCACACTGGGGCAGGAAAACCGGAACAATCAGCTCTTTGTCGGCAGCTGGCACAGAACATGGAGACCCTTTGCCCCCACGGCTGCGTGCCACGCACTGGCACGCCTTCTGGGGGAGGCTGGTAAGAGCTCGGCACAAGAATAGGGAGTGTGTCAGCCTCCCGCTGAACAAGCCATCCACCCGAGACAGGCCGGCCCCGGTCCTCCGTCACACCGAAGGCCACCTCCTCACACGAGCCACAATCATTTTCACCAAGACCCCTCCCATCAGGCACCGTCAATCATCCCCATCCAGCATTCCAATCGCTTCTGCCCATGCTGGGAATTTCTATTTACTGCTGTGGTTTGACGACAAGAAGAGATAATGCCAGAGGTAGGGGGGCCTCGCAGCAGGCATACTCTGAGTGTGCTGCAGAGTCACCAGCATGCAGCACCCAAATATGCCCCTACCTGCCCTCAGATATAAGCCAGTGAGTGGGATAATGTATTTGTCTTATGAGTTATGAGGATTAGACTTTAACTACTGCATCACCTATCAATATGTACTCAAGAAAAGGGTCTGGGAAATTGTATAAGTGTGCTACAGTTACTGTAATATTAATGCATCCACCTTCTAATCCTGGCCAGGGTCACAGCAGGGGCCTGGAGCCTACCCCAGGCAGCAAAGGGCACAAGGTTGGGGCATACCCTAGTTGAGATGCTAATCCACAGTGACACACACACACACACTCACTATGGGCAATATATAGAAGCCAATTACCTGCATTGCATGTGTTTGGTCTGAGAGAAGCAACTGGATTACCCAGAGAAAACCAAGAGAGGATACAAAGTGCACACATGCAGAGCAGAGGCAGGATTTATCCCATCCCACTGCCAGAGGTCTGAGGGCCAAACCTGCGCCACAGTACCATCTAATACTGAACTCAATGTTAGGCAAACAAACTTGGAACTAGATTTGCAGTTATTTGGTTTTTTGTTTTTTTTTTAAACACATTAATACTGAAATGAATAATATTACATACAATACATAAAATCAATACTACTAGTCAACGAGAGGCACTGCCATTAAATTAGCCTAGATGCATGTCCTGGTCTCGTGAGAGATTGTCCAGTGGACAAAGCCAAGTCCCTGGGCACATGTTACCCATACTCCTATCCTGACTGCCTCTTGTAACCAAGGCCTCTAAAGCTCATGATGCAAACAAGGTTCTTCATACACCTTAAAGTACGTGGAGAGTGGAGACAGAGTTAACACAGACCAATTACAATGACTGTCAGTTTTTAAAATGCTATTATATAAAACTACAAAGCAAGTTACAAAAAAGAAACCCTGTATCAGGGCAGAATCTTAGTCTGTTACGTGAATTTCTATCAGTTCTAGATTAACAGTTTGAATTACTTTCTGGTTTGAACATCAGTACCCTTACAGAATAAATCATCCCAGAATAAATCATCCTATCAGGCACTAAAAATACTAGAGAGGATTTTTAGTGCTTCCTTGACTCAACAGGCAATAAAACAGGTGTTTTAGGAACAGGACAGTCATTTCAAACACTGCTTGCACATTCCACTGCGTAATAAAGAAGTTAACCCAGCTGTATTCTAGGCGTCTGGCTACTTCCTCAAACTCAACACTGCCTGTTTCACAGGAGCTGAGAACAAGGACTTAACATGACGTATGCATGTATGTACATGGAGGTGAACACAGGCCACATGCACAAGTTTATCTGAATGCTCAATGAGCATTTCTTACCAGTGTCAATTGAAAATAAGATCTTTTGTATGCATGAAAAACACTTTGCCACGAAAGCCTTGGTAGGCTAATATATGGAGCTAAAGAATTTCTTTTTAAATCTCATTGTGATCTGCATCTGGGCATATTAGTATGCCTGACTGTAGATGTTTTTTAGCGTTTGTCTGCCTCATCATTACGCAGTTTCAAGCGTAACTACTTTCAGATTTCAGCATACAGGTTAAATTACTGACACTGTGTCTATGTATGTGGGCATGTGTGCATTTCAGGCTGGGGGAGGATCGTGAGGGTAGGTCTGCAGACGGGACCCTTGGAAATGCCAAAGATAACTCAGATTCCTCTGTCATTCCCTAAGCAAACGGGCAACTTCTCCTGACTAGTAGAGCACAGGTTATCCTAGGATTCAGAGATGCACATTAACAGAAAGCTGCGTTTATGTCAGTTGGCTCTGAAGAGAAGATGCCATCAGGAAGTGACAGCGATAAAACATCTAAAGCAAAGCAAGAGTAACACAGGCCAGAATGTCCCATTAGACCCATCTTCTGTGAACAAGAAGAAAAAAACGTTCCAGATTTGCTCTCAGAGATATAACAGTACTGTGAGGTGGACATTGGAGATTGTGACATTTTATCTTTTTAGCTTGAATAACAGTTTCATAGGTTGCTGTAAATGCAAAACGCAAGTCGTTTTTCAGGTAACCGCTAAAAAAACAAGATGAAGAACGGCCTCTGTCAGAAAGAGGACACATACCGTCCGGCACCTCTCTGTCGCTGATGTGCTGCAGGTAGGGCCCGGTCGTGTCCTCGCTCAGGTCCGTGTTGGTCTGGTAGTCCTCCAGGCGCTCCTGTTGCCTGGAGATCTTCGGACTCCCGCCAGGAGACACGCAGCACGACAGTGTGTTCCCCATCTCCGATTAAAGGCGACGTTAGCTAGCAAATACACGCCGTGCGACCGTGTCAAGGCCCTCCGAACACTGGACAGGGATTACGGATTTACTTTGTCTAAAACATAAAGTATAAGGATGAAGACGACCCGTCTTCAAATCGTCAATTTAACGGAAACATGTAGGGTTCAACAGATGGAGAATACTGATACCATCGACCCTGGACGTTTTTACAAATAAGTTGCATTAATAAAAAGTTGCACGTCGTCTATCAGGGGCGTGCTCGGCTACACTGGGAAAAGCGCAGGATATGGGCGCTGCACTAGAAATACACAGTAGCTCATCTGACAGCTGCAAGGAGATGGCTACTCGCTAAATCAATGCTCGCCTAGGGTGTGCTCCCACTTGGCTAAAGCATGAAAAAGGAGCGACGGACAGTCCAGGCCGATTTAAAAGCAGCTCAAAAACTTCAAAACATTCGGAAATTCACCCATGTCTAGCTAAGTGAAACATCAGTAGCTAACCACAAAAAAAAACTGACGAATAAAAGGTGCATGTAGCTAGTCCACTGGTCCCTTAACTCAGTAAGCTAGCTAACCCAACATCAGTATCCGCTTGAGACTACCCTTACGCCAAACGCCACCAACAGTATTAGAAGGTTCTCAAAATGCAGCTCCAACTTCAGTTTCCTGATTAAAGTCTTTTAATGCTTATTTTCCGAGGTAGATCATCTTTCTCTCCCTTTGATATCCAGGATCATATACCAACTCTTTGCCCAGGCTTTGGGCCTAAATCACATAGCCTGCTTAGCCGCTCATTTTTTGTTTCGATTAAACTATGTAAGAGTTAATTGCCTGTTCGGCGTGGGCCTTTCCGAGATTCAGCTTTGGTTCCTAGCCCTGATACTGAAGATATTCCGCTATCCCCTCCTCCCCGTTGGCCAATTCAGCGATCTCCTCCCCGCCACCTCCGCCATCTGTTCCTCTCGCCGCTACCTGGCATGCACGCAAGGAACCACCCATGAGAAATCGCATCAGCTATCATTGGACGTGTAATCAAAACAAAGCGGCCGGTTGTATCCGATTGGTTAAACGTTTCATACGTTTCAGCAGTGCCCGCCTACCTACACATTTAGGGAATATCATTGGTCTCGAAAATTGAAAATCCATGAACGCCATTTTCTAACTGCAGAATCCCGAATGCCAATCATTTTGTATGACCTCTGGTAGCACATCACGATTTGCTTGCTGGGTGAATGAAAAGCATGGCGGAAACGGTGCTACTCATCTTGTAGTGAAAACCATCGGATTGTCATTTTACACTGAAGAAAAGTGCATATAACCGAAGTTTCAGTATGAAAAGCGCAAGGGGACTAAAACAATTTCCATCCTTATGTAGTTAAGGTGAAATCGAAACATTATTCTCAAAAATACAACTAACAATCGTAACCCATAAATATTTCTTCGGTATTAATAAAGAAAAAGTTAAGTTGTATAACTAATGTCTTGTGAAAACATCTAGATGCTGGTTGTTATTTCTACATATTAAATATGTACGTAAGACATCTATTTCTCATTTATATCAATTTTTCGACGCATATTTGAAAGTCTCGGACGGGCTCGTGGTTTTCATCGCGAGGTTTCAAACAACGCCAAAGGACCTGGTAATAAAGTTTTGGTAAGTTGGTTACTGTTAAAAGTATTTTAACTGGAGTGAAAGTACTTTGAAAATGTTATCAATTAAATCACTTAACTACACATATAATTCTTGCGTGCGTCATGATTAGGAAACAGCGCTTTTTAAAGGCAACGAGACCAAAAACTATGCTATGCACCATGCATTTTGGGACACTAAGTCAAGCTCATTTTCGTTCGACATTTAAAATTGATTTTATCCTTCTATCTTACAACCGCTCTTCTGTACAGGGATACATATTTCGAGATAATCTGAATTATGTTTTCTGCATGCACAGTGTACGGCGCAAATTTGCAACGGGAGGTATGGATATGATATAAAAAGAAACAGTTGACATGCATGTACCCATCCATCAAGATCCCTGTTTAGTGTATTCAAATGTATTTTATACAATGATGGGATTTATATACTGCAGTTGTGATTATTATGTACGACTATGTATTTGATTTTATTATCATTAATCGCTTTGGAATATTCCATACATTAAATAACAAGGTGCATTTTAAAAACCACCATGCTCTTCTCCTTCCAGCAAAGAAGTAATTTCCAAAGGGCTGTGATGGCTCTCGTCCCATATGAAAGGAACTCTATGCCAGCACTCTCCAAACTGCATGACGTCTCGGCTGAATTTCACTTTGCCAATCGTCGCCTGCGCCTATCTCAGGACTGGAACCGACTTGGGGTGGCCGCAGTGGTTTGGGATGCGGTTAGTTTTGGCCTTACTAATATTTAGTTTTGTTCTTTGCCAGTCATTGCACTTGGTGGTTTACTGTATGAAGCATTTGAGTGATTTTGCAGGTTGCTGTAACCTTACTTGTTTCTATTCATTGCATTACAGTTGTGATGTGTTTTTTCTTGTCTCATTTAAGGCTGTAGTGCTGTGTATGTACTTGGAGCTGGGACATATTGAGCTTTGGGGCAAAGTCGCCATTGAGCTAGGGGCAGGCACAGGGCTCGTGGGAATCGTGGCCGCGCTCCTTGGTAAGAATGGACAATGGAGACATTATGCTATGTGAATTTCTGTTACCAGGTAGTCTCTGTGCCGCATTTTATGAATTTTCTAACTTGATTGATCTCATCAGGTGCTAAGGTGACAATCACTGACCGAGCGCCAGCCATTGATTTTCTGTGCACCAACGTGAAGGAGAATATACCTCCAGAGCAACAGGGAGCAGCACTGGTAAAAGAACTAACTTGGGGAAAGAACTTAGAACTGTATCAGAAGGGAGGATATGACATTATCCTTGGAGCTGACATTGTATACCTGGAAGAGACCTTCTCTGCCCTGCTGCAGACTCTAGAGTACCTGAGCTCAGACAGGACTCTGGTACTGCTGGCTTGTAGGATCCGTTATGAGCGGGACCAGAAATTTTTGGATATGCTGCGTACACGCTTCATAGTCCAAGAGGTTCACTATGATGTTCAAAAAGATATACACATATACAAAGCTGTGAAGACCAAATACGAGTTATGACTGAGACAGTCAGTGTAAGTTTGAAGAGATAAATTCACACAAAAATCACTTTAAAAGCTATTTCAATGTAGCAGTATATGTATATAAGTATGTTACAGCATGATATATATGGTATAAAAAGCAGGAATATGTGTGCATGGAGAATTAGTATACTGCTGTCAGTGAAGAAAAGGGGTAAGATTATGTATAGTACGTGATGCAAAGAATTGTAAATGGAAAATTTGGTTATGTACAAATAAATGAAAAGTGGGGGGTACTATAGCCCCAGTTGGACATCTAAAAGCTGTATCCTACCTCCACTTTTAATCTCTTTTCTCAAATGGTCTGTGTAGAGATCTCCTTTTTGTGGTTCTGACCACCCTAAAGAATATAAAATCAATAACCAATTGTTCTGCATTGGAGTGAGTGACAGTACTGATTAACATAGAGGGTGTACCAGCAGGGGTTGGTAACTGCAGATGATTGCTCAGGGTATGTTCCAGTGCCACCAGAAGAACTTGCAGGCTGCATTTACATACTGCAACAAGACTGTTAAGATCCAATTCGAATATTTCATGCTTTTTCTGTATTACAAGTTGAATTTTCTTAATATTTACATTAAAAAATGAGTGTCTTTGATTGCATTATCTATAAATGCTTAGCAAAACTGGTTCAGCAATTCTTTTTTTTTAATTTAAAATTATTTATGCCTTAAACTAAGGTTCTCTTAAAGTTGTTTTCCAGGAGTTATGACTTCACATACACACTATATTCTTATGAATTTAGATTTAATAAGATTTTTGACCAGCAGGACAGTATAAATATTACTTGTAACCCTAGACAGGAGAAGCTAGACTTTATTCATGTGCAACATGCTCAATTGGTAGTTAGATTAAAAAAAGGATTTGTTGTTCAAGCACAATTTAATAATCCTGGAGTACATTTCATGAATAAAATCCACACAGCAAACAGTATGATTTAGTATATTTCCAATACAGCCAAAACAAGAGCAGGTTTAACATACATACATACTTCAGCAAAATAAAGTAATTCCATAATGCTTGTTTTATGGTGGCTGGTACAAAATTGGGAATGAATATATATAATATAATTGACAGGAGTGAGTATTCAGTTAAGAAAACGAGCTGTACACCTCCCTTTTTGTGTGCTGTTTCATATGATGCATCATGTATCAGATACAAATATAAAAAAAGACAAGCCGATGACTAATGCTGTTATAGTATAAGCACAGCATCATATGCACAATATAACAGACCATCAAAAACACTGTTTCATCAAAGGCGTTTTTGTCAATTAGCTGCCAAGAATTTGTAGCTGGATAAATTGTCCCAGTAGGTATTTTATTTATATATTTAATACAAATAAATGAATTCCATATTGGTTGTGACAATGAATGAAAAATACCAAATGGTTATAAAAAATAAAGTACATTATGTAGCACAATCAATATGACCACTGGCTCCACTTTATGACAAAACAATAATACAATATGGCATTTCTTATTCCAGCAACCAACTGAAAAAGTATTATTCCTCTACTCCGTATTTTTGAGAAACAATTTTAAAGATGTCACCCATATGTTTCAAAGTATTCATGTGAAGTATCATAAGTGACTCTGAAAATAGAGCAAAGTTCTTTTGCAGGGTGAGTTGTGTCACCTGATAGATATTATTGAGTTTGACCTCCACTTCTGTGAAAAGCTTGTTAAATCCAGACACGTGGCTGTTCCGTTTGTCCACGTCACCCACTCACTGACTGGATGCCAGCATAGGAAGATTACTTAGTGAGGACGAGCTGCCATCTGAACCAATCTTAATACACATAGTACCTATTTTCATACTTTACCGATGTCTGTATGTTTGCACTGAGCTGCAGTTTGAACCTAAACCTAAAATGATTCCTAAAATACACTTAGAAGGAAATACACTTCTCCAAGGAAATATAATCAGCAACTGTTTACAGTTAACAAAAGCAAAATACTGAAATGCTCAGGGGGTTTGGGGGGTACAAACCGAAAATTTCATTGTAAGAAACTGTACTTCCCCCATCATTCATTAGATCTGTGAAACTTGTTAGTAACACAAGCATTATAGAAACATCTGCACAAACTACACGTGTTGCACACAGCCGTTCTAATAATCCCACTCCCAACCCTGTGGCAAACTGTTTTGAAGAAGGGTTCTATGCAGAGCAGATCAGGCTATATGCTAAGGTCACGGCAACAGGAGAGGCCCTCCATCCTCCATGTAGAGAATGCATCACGTGTTCTTCTGCGTCGGCGGGTGGACCACTGGTACAGGTGACAAGTCAGAAACAGGAGTGGAGGGTTTATGGCTTATTAGCCAATGGCTTTCTGTTCCCCCAGCAACATGGTGATTCATTCCTTGGGGGCCCAGTGATAATAAAAGAACTTCTCCTGAAGCACCCAAACGTACCTGCCCCCAGGATCTCTATAAGGACCCTTGCCAGTGACCCCCAGGAGGCAAAGAATGAGAAAACTGAGCTGGATGCTCATGATTCAAAGTTTCTTACTTATTGAAGGTCATGATCCACTAGAAAAGAGAGGAACTTAGACCTTGTATTTAAAGGGGTTTTTCAATTTCTTTTCTCTTAGTTCGTAACTTTAAAAAACATCTACAAAATGTGTATCCATGCCAGGATGGTTACCACTAGGCAGAGTCTCTGTACAAGTAGGCAGAAGCCAGCTGGGGAGGGGGGAAGCAAATTGTGGAGGGTTAGTTCTATTCAGATTTATGGCAGTACAGGTCTTTAAGTGCTTTCAGTTCTTCAATGAGGGTTTTGTTTTGGTTTTCCAAAACAGCCACCCGGTTCTCCAGACACTTGACATACTCCTTCTTCTTTCTACGACATTCACGTGCCGCCTCCCTGTGGGAGAAGATGAGATGACAGTCAAAACCAAAACCGATTCCTGTATCTACTGATGTGTTTCCTGAGTTACTGAATAATTTTTTTCATTTTGCAATTAAACTACGAGTAAGCTAAAAATATACAGGACTGTAAAACTAAGCTGCAGAGTATCAAACCACATACAGTTTAAGCAAAGTTAGTCATTCTTAAATTCAGTTTAATATTTGTAAATGCTTGGCAAAGAAAAATGCAAATCGGTTTTGGCTAGGCCTCTTAAAATACTGTAATTGAGACAGTATTTTACTATATTATGCTAATTGACAATGTAATGATACATAATACTGTGTAGTGCTAACCATACATTTGTGCATCATAGCAGTATGTTTTTCACGTGACTGACAGTTAGAGGTCTCATGTTTCCACAGGTACCTGTTCTTCATGAGCCGGACCTCCCTCTTGCGTGTGGCCTCCTCAGCTCCCCCTTGGGAGGGCAGGGCAGGGGAGGAGGCCATAACCACACCAGGAGCAATGGTACTGGTTGGAGCAGTGCGGATCTGATAGGCCTGTACATCCCCAGAGGCAGCTGTAATGGTGGGGTGGGGATAGTGGATAAAAGTCAGATTTACTGGAGTCATTTTTAAGAATTTATAGTACTTCATAATAATTTTATTTAGCTTTTACTAGCCAAAATATTCCCATGTCATAAAACAGTTTTCACTGTTAAGTCAACATATGAAACCTGCCTAAATAACATTTCACACCTGCCTGTTCTATATTCTTGTGTGTTGGTCTGCGGTCTCTTTACCTTGTACCACCACTTGGTTGCTAGGCACCAGGATCTGCTGGCCGTCAGTGGTCTGTGCATACTGTAGGATGGTAGTGCCCGGCTGAGCAGCCGCTGCGTTGGTCATAGTCAGGGTCTGAAGCCCCTGTACACCGTCTGTGCCATTGTTGGCCAGCTGGATTGCCCCACCCTGGGTTATGGCGACTAGAATGACAGGAAGTGACGATTGTGACAGAGACAAAGACGGCAAACCTATAAGCCTTGGATCTTATCTTGGGCTGAACTGAGCTAAACTGTGTTGATTTATTCCTCTCCAATTATACATGATAGAAAAATTACGTCCGTCATCGTCTTATAAATGCATTCATACGTTACTGCCAATATTGCTTATACTGAGAAGCACTGAGAACAGATGTGATGAATGACGTACTATACTGCCCGCTGCTGGTCTGGTAAATGGGCGTTGGCACGGTTACAGTGGTGATGGCAGGCCCAGTGTCCTCCTCTGATTTCTCCTCTTCTATCCTTGGAACGCCTGGGGCATCTGATGACAAGTCATTAAGGATTTTCCTGCGGAGTTGGAACCAAGGATCGATGTGAGGATGTGAATTATCACAGCAAGTCCCCTGCACTTCAAATACATTCTCCAACACATGTTCTTTTTGTTAGAAACTCCAGAGAACGTCGCCACTCGGGTAGATAGCAATAAAGACTAATTTGAGATGAGAGCATGACTGTTATATTGCCTTGCTTCTCCAATATGAACATTTTCAGCAGTTATTTAAAAAAACAGGTAAAAGACTACAAATTTACACTAGTTATGGTATCACAACATGGGCAAGAGAAGCAGAGGGGAAGCACCTGTAAGAGGGACGTCTGGACAAGATCTCTCTACGCTTCTGGGAGTCTGTCACACTCTCTACTGATTCCTGGGAGTCCTCACTCTCCGCAATTGTAGAAATCTGAAAGTTTCGAACAGCGATTCCTCACCCACCCGAAGACATGTACCTAGTCACCATACTTAGCCTGATCATTACAAACATTTTTGCTCACTTGCATATGATAAAGACACACGAGAAATGGAGAAAAAAAATACTGTGCCGGGGTTTTATACAATGTTTAAAAAAATTTATTCTCAGGTATGCTGAAAACTACATTAAAATGTTGTAGTATTAAGTTCAATATTTGTCCATATTATTTCCAAAACAAATATCTTATCACGATTCCCAAGCCACACTATTTACTATTACACAAAGTCCCTTTCCAGGTCAACAAGAAGTGGAGCAGGTGGAATTTGTTCACTCACCTGAACAGTCTGCACCTGAGGGGACTGGATAACTGAAGGTTGTGCAGCCTGGATGACTCCATGGACTTGAACAGTCTGCCCATTGGGTAGCTGCACCAGGGTGACTGTGGGACCACTGGCTGTGGTGTGCCCAGCAGCCATAGACACCTGCAGACAGGCAAACAGTGCAGCATAACCACCACTCTGTCAGCCTCAACTATAGTGTAACTATACACTAAATATTTCAATACACACAAGACAGAAGGGCAGTCCTCAAAAAGTGCACAAGCATTTACTATGGTCTTATCCTTGTTGGCTTAACAGCTGAAGTTATGCATACATTGCTGCTCTAGTATACTTTTGCAGGACCACAAATTCTGGTAAAATAGCCAGTCTATACAGTGTAGTATATATTGCAGAAGAGCAGTCTTACCTGTGCTAGGGTGGCTATCTGTGCCTGTGCGATCTGCTGGCTTTCTGTCTCAGAGACGGCTGTGTCGCCGCCCTGCTGTGTGTCTGCGCCCGATTCCATAGTCATTTAGTTAGCTGAGAATCAAGAAAGTAAACGATCGTTATTGTATATGATTTTTATTTATATACTGCTTTATTTCTTAGCAAGCACCTCCAAAAAAAAAAATCACAGTCTTAAACATATATCTTTAATCTTATTAATGGCACCAAGCGTTATCATTTATTCGGATAGCTGACTTTCAGATCTATACAAATATACGCTCCCATAGTCTGTGATTAACTTTTCATTAATATTTCAGCAGTAGACCAAAAATTCTAACTATTGCAGCTTTAATCAAGGATGCGCCACCTACTTGTAAACTCAAAGACCTTTCCACAGAAATGTTACCAGCTGATTTTTAAGGGTACAGTCTCTACTGTCTTTCTCTTTGAAATCAACAATGACAGTAGTTAAACTGATGTGAGCAATGCATCTACACAGGGAAAGGCTTTGAAACGCTTAATGTGTTAAGAAATATGTCAACGATACAAAATCCCACTGTATCTTCAATTTTTATTTCCAATATTATCGGAATTTATTTTGCCACATAAATCCCTAGTCACACTTAAACTGACCTACACGGAAGTGACCTACGAAGACGAAGAGAATGCCTTGAATGTCTTTATGGCACTATAACATTTATCATCACATTGGCATAAAGAATGGGCTGCCTTTGTATGGTGTAACTATTATGTGCAGGTAAATGGAATTTTCAGTCAAAACAATCTCAAACATCAGAAACAAAGAAATTGTACACGAGTTGTATTAGAGAAAAAGAGGGGATTTAAATACTTGTGGGAACGTGCTGTGATATGCAGGACCCTGGTTTTCCAGGAAATTGCTTGATGTGCATGCACACAGTGCCCCCTATCAAACTGTGAATGTATTACCCTGCCAGCCCAGTGGTCAGCAGCTTACCCTCAAAACACAAAATATGTTTTCCTTCATTACTATGGAGTGCTGTGTACAGTAAAGAAGTATTCCTCTTGAGAGGGCAGTGAACAAAGGCCACAGGGTCATTTCCCGTGCCAATTTCTTGGCACACTCACTGCAGCACCAAAATATCTATGGCTGGGTGGCTACTTTCCTGGCTTCAAAACTCCCCATGAAACAGACAAATCAAAGTGCTTCGGAATCCACAGGCACATGAAAATATACGTTTTGTGCATGTTCTATAGTCCCCATTAAACTACCTACATAAGGGAAACAGCTTATTTTAAAAAAGGTCCAATATTCTAATAAGTTATCAGACAATCAAGCAGTCACACTACACATAAGATCAAAGAGCAGGGACATATATTCAATTTATTAATTAAAATTTATTATCAGCTCGTAACGAAGTGTAATATATGCTGATGAAACAGAAACACCAGAATCGCTAAATAAGCAACTCAAGAACTGAATTGTGCCATAATCAAGACATTGTAGCTGTCCATGATTAACAATAGCTCTGAAAGGATCACACGAGACTGGGAAACAAGGTTGAAGGCCATTTTTACTACCGGGGAAAGAAGAACTTGACGCTCAAGACTGTACAGTAAGTAACGGCTCTTCACAATACTTCCTGCAGGTTCGTGCCACTTGAAATAAAGAAATGTATGATGTCCATTATTAATGTGATATTGTGACTTTTCGTTTAACTGACCTTTCCAGGTGTCATTAATAACAAGCATATAAAAAAGTAAACTGTAAATTGGCGGGATATCAAAAACTGTCGTTAAATTTCTTGGACATGTCCGTATTTAAACAAACAATGAGTGTTGTTTAATTTAAAGTATATATATATATATAAACATTTGCCGAATGCAGTATTTTATTTTTACTACAGATCGGATAAACACCTAGATGGAGAAATAAATCTGTTTGGGGAATCGACGGTCACGCTGTCGGCGACAGCGCGCTTTTACAGTTTCTTCTTTTACTTTTTACGTTCGGGCGGGCGGATCTCTTGAAGCTACACATTGTATCTGATCTAGATATTCACTGCTGAGATTACAGCCTTCCCTCTCCATTTAAAAAATTAATGCTCAGTAAAAATGTCATTTGTTTACTGTAGCAAGTTAGCTGCAGTTAAATATAAGCACAGACTCTTAATGAGAGGTATTTCAGCTAGTCGCCTAAAAGTTACGCAACAGGAATGGCTATTCGTAAATAGCTACATAGCTCAATATTAACTAGTTTTCATGCTGGAAAGCTAAACGAGACACCAAGAACCATTGCTTGCAACCTTTAAATGACAAATACGCGCTTCCATCCAAGGAGGCTGCCACCGCAAGTACGGAGTGAAAGCCGACTTCGGTCAGTATTTCAGCATTATTTATTTTTGGAAACCTCCCACTGCAGTTCTGCGCAAAGCCCAAAGATATAAAAAAGATTCGATATGTTAAGTTACTTGGCGAATGAATTGAGTCTAAATGTAGAGACTGAACAACTGGTGGTAAATAAATGTTGCACAAACATGTTTGCGTTTCCCCTCAGACTTGCCATCCCCGATCCCCTTTCTCTCAGTTGCAGACTCCCCTCCTTCTTTGCCTGCCTGCCTGCCTGCCTGCAACAAGCCCGCCGCCATGATCTCTTTGTCTTCTCCGAGCCGATCCCAACATCGCCGGGACATACCCTGTCACCCTCCCCCCGGACACTTCTCTTCTCTTACCGATACAGACTCTCTCCGTCACTCCTAAGCCCTCGGAGCTCCACTTTTATTCAGGCCGACACGTAAGAGACCGCGTCAGGCTACACCTCCGTCGCGTCACCGAGAACAACAACACGGAGAACGAGGGAGACGAAAATCAGCTCAACGGCACCATCGAGAACTGCCGAGGCGCGCACGGAAAATGCCGAAGTGCTGACGGGAGGAACCGAATGCGACGTACGTTCGACGGAAATGCACGGAAATACCTAGTTCTCGGAGCTGGAAGGATGAGAGAGCGATGTTCAAACATAGTATTGGTATACGTGCATTTCTAAATACGTTCTCACAAATAATTAGAATCTTTGTAAACGGTTTATTTATTTAGAATAAATTACGACATTGCTAATCCTCTGGCGTAATGCATGCTGTTTGGTTTATTAATCATATATATTATAAAAAGCTGTCTGGTTATTGTACGAATGGCCTGACATAGATGCAATTGATATGACGGGCGAACAATTACATTTTGCCAAGGGCATTGTTTTTCTAAGCGATTTAAAGTAAACCCACAACTTTAATTGTTACCGATGCTTTCGCGACAGTATTGCATATTCAATTAAGATAGTTAGCTGGTCAAGAGCAAGCATATTTGTCAACTGTTTTTCCTTGATGAAATGATTAGCGTTGGCACAAACGGAATACCTGTAGTCCCGTGTTTCTCAGTTCAAAATGGCAGCATTACAAGAAATTCAATGTAAGAATACAAAACCTTTGCCGTTGTAAACGAGTTTTCACTGCAAATCTTATTTAAAATGGTTTATGGTGGATTTTTCACCATATAAATCAGTATATTGACTTCATTTGGTTTGCTGACTTGTGAAATTTCCATTAGAATTGCAGAGAATGCATAAAATACTAGACAAATTACTCAGAATCACCTTTGTTGGAATAAGGATTTAGGTCTTTATCCCCATTCTCCAGTTTGTTGCGTGCAACGTCCTAACACATGATTAACATCGATGACAAGATTCAAGATTTAGCAGAGAATAGGAAAAAATGCGCGTATAAACTAATTTTTCCTGCTAAAACAGACGCATTGATAAATATCCTGCATTAAAAAAACTATTTTTTCCCTTTGAAAACATTAAGTGGAATTACATATATAATATCTTAAAAATAGCGGTTAAATTACACAAACACAAATGTGCTTGTTTCATAATTAGGAATAATATTGGACTGTACATGTATAATATAGAACATATAGCTGACATGATAATTTAATATATGGAACTAAGGAATGTGTTTATTGCATCCTATTTTTTTCAGAAAGGTTAGAAGACTATACAGTTTGTCAGTGATGAAATCACTATTGTGACAATCATGAAATTATAGGATATGATGCATTTTGTTGTATCTTGTGCATTGAAAATAAAGTCTGTTCTATTCTTACAACCCTCAGGGTTGTTGGACATTCATGTATGTGACATATTAAAATAAACTGAATAATCTATTTCAAAGATGTGCTTCATCAATCGAAATATCATGCAAAGTTCCAAAAACTTATAGGCCTACTTTATATATACTATTATGTTGTATGTTATGAGTATTATTATTAAGTGATATGTAAGGCAACATACAGATTTTAGTAGCAATTTGATAGTGTGAATATATTGTTTTTTTGTGTTTGTAGTTATAATGTTTTAAATTACTCCAATATCACTTCCTTATGTAACCTAGTATTGTAAAAATAATGATTAAAAGTCAGCAGTTTTTATTGTATGAAATATGTAATTATTTTATAAACCTTTGAATGGCTTTGTTTGCATTTCATTAAGTTGTACTTCATTCTTTTGAGCCAACACCCTTCAGATCTTAACTGTTTTCATTTTTTATTTAATTATTGTTATTTTTAAATAATTTGTTATTTATTCAGTTAAATCAGAAAGACAGTAACTCTCCGGTAATGGAGAACAGTTGGACACCAGAGGCACACAGTTATGATGGATAACAGGAAGCGATAGAGAAAAAAAGTTCTTGGAATTAAAAGACAATTTTCAATCCTGTATTTAACTTTTGGTTAATATAGTGATTGGGCTGTACAGACATACAATATATGAATTAATTTACGGTGGCCTTTATTAGTCATTTAGAAATTAAAGCTATGATGGCCCTTCTTGAGACAATGAACAAGATGTTTCTAGTGAGACTATATTGCCAAAAGTATTGGGACGCTCCTCCAAATCATTGAGTTCAGGTGTTCCAATCACTTCCACAGCCACAGGTGTATAAAGTCAAGGCCCTAGGCATGCAGACTGCTTCTACAAACATTTGCGAAATAATAGGTCACTCTCAGGAGCTCGGTGAATTCAAGTGTGGTACCGTGATAGGATGCCACCTGTGCAATAAGTCCATTTGTGAAATTTCCTCACTACTAAATATTCCACGGTCAACTGTTAGTGGTATTATAACAAAGTAGAAGCAATTGGGAACAACAGCAACTCAGCCATGAAGTGGTAGGCCACGTAAAATCATAGAGCGGGGACAACGCATGCTGAGGCACACTGTGCAGAAGTCGCCAACTGTCTGCAGAGTCAATAGCTGCAGACCTCCAAACTTCATGTGGCCTTCAGATTAGCTCAAGAACAGTGCATAGAGCACTTCATGGAATGGGTTTCCATGGTCGAGCAGCTGCATTCAAGCCTTATTTAACCAAGTGCAATGCAAAGCGTTGGATGCAGTGGTGTAAAGCATGCTGCCACTGGACTCTAGAGCAGTGGAGATGTGTTTTCTGGAGTGACAAATCACATTACTGACTGCATTGTGCCAAGTGTAAAGTTTGGTGCAGGGGGGATTGTGGTATGGGGTTGTTTTTCAGAGGTTGGGCTTGGCCCTCTTAGTTCCAGTGAAATGAACTCTTAATGCTGCAGCATTCTAAGCCATTTTGGACAATTTCATGCTGCCAACTTTGTAGGAACAGTTTGGGGTTGAGCACTTCCTGTTCCAACATGACTGCGCACCAGTGCACAAAGCAAAGTCCATAAGTACATGGATGAGCGAATCTGGTGTGGAGGAACTTGAGTGGCCTGCACAGAGCCATGACCCCAAACCTGAGAGAACACCTTTGGGATGAATTAGGGCAGATACTGCGAGCCACGGTCAAAATTTCCCCATAAACACGCTCCTGGGAAGGCTGTCCTTGTGGACAGCCTCCCAGAAGAGTTGAAGCTGTTATAGCTGCAAAGGGTGGGTCCACTCCATATTAAAGCCTATGTATTAAGAATGGGACGTCATTAAAGTTCATGTGTGTGCAAAGGCAGGTGCTCCAATACTTTTGGCAATATAGTGTATGTCAGTGACTGATCAGGCAAGCTGTTTCGCCCCCTGTTGTTTGAAGACAGTAAGTGCTATGTTTCGAGTGGAAGTCTCTGGCAGTGTCTCCGGGAAGAACATTTGAAAAAAATGAAACATGCATTTGAATTTATTGCATACTTATTTTGCATGTTATCGCTATCGCTTCCCACCTCTATGGTTTGGAGTTCGAATCTTACTCTGCTCTGTTCGTGTGGAGATTGTATGTTCTCCCTGTGGTTTCATCATGTGGTCTAAAGACATGCCGATTAATCGCCATGACTGAATTGCCTTTAGAGTGTGTAAAATGTACTGACATCTCATCTAGGGTCCCCATAGCATAAAATATCTAAAGAAACGTGGTGTAAACGTGTGTAGGAAAAAAAAAAACTGTAACCGCAATTTGTCCAGCAGGGGGCAATATTCCATAACTTTGATCAGTGTCTGAATTTAGAGTAGAATCCTTAATCCTTAACGACGTAAATGCATATGTCCTGAAGATGGTAGTGCAAGTGTATTGCCTGAATCAAAGCTTCTGGTCAGCATAGAGAAATGGAAGGGCTGTTCCGTCTGTTTGTGGGTTTATTGAGGCAATTCTTTTTATAATCCTCTCGATACCCATTTGATGTTTTATCTGCTTGATTGTGCTTTGCTGTCACAACCCATAAAAACATTTTTATAGTGACATGAAAGTCGTTGTATGGGAAATTGACCCTGTTGGTTTGATGGAGGACTGTGAATTTGTAACAGCTAAAATCCTAAGGGAATGAGAAAATTTTGACCAATTTGTGGAACAGGTTTTACAAGGCAGAGCTATTTTTTCAAAGAGGAAAGGGGAAGTACAAATGCATCCACTTCAATTCATTTCAAATCGTATTGTTCCATTCATTAAGTAAAGAGTTTTTTTAGACAATGTGTCCCCTCGTTAAAACCGTATGAGATTTACTACTACTACTACTATTCTTCTTCTTCTTCTTCTTATTATTATTTATTTATTCTTCTTATTATTATTATTTAGACTGAATTGTGTTATTAAGTCACAAGGTAAATAATTTTCGTTTCTGCATATTTTTTCATTGTAATATTGTTTTGTGTAAATTCTTAGCTTTTATGTGTGCATATTTAGGAAAAATCACAAAAAATACTGTAATTTCCATTTATATGGAGCGTATTTTTTTTCTTATTCATAAACAATGCTTGAATAAGCCTGTATTTATGTGTGGTCTCGGTTTTCTGGATGTTTTGTGTATTATTTCATTTGTGTGCGATCGCGTGTACGTGCGAGTGTTTTGCATGCCCGATTGTGTGTTTTTACGTCTGCACCTTTGTGTCTGTTTTTTGTGCATAAAAAATGTGCATGCATGTCATTTGTATTGTGCGTATGCGTGTACGTGTGTGTGTGTGTGCGCGCGCGCTAGTGTCTGTGTGTGCAGCTTAGTGATTGACCTTGAGGAGGCATCACAGTTGGTGAGTGGGCTGCAGCCTCTCTCCTCCGAGCCCCCACTGTGCACCTCCCCCGAACGAACACCCTCATGCTGGCTCCAGCTCCATACTCAGCAATACTGGATCCCTCAGCCAGCAAGAAGCCATTCTGCTCTGCTGCACTTTCTGTCTGTCTCCCTGTTCATTTAGGATGTTTAAAACACACTTGAGGGGTTCCTAAAAAATACATCAAAGCCTAACCACGCAGTGATCTTTGAACACATGTTTCTAATTTGACATTCAGCTGATTTTCTCTGATGAAAAAAAATGGAAAATTGCACAGATCATGCTTTTAGCATTTCACCTAAATTTAAAATTTGTTTTTTTTTTCTCTGAGGACACATAAAAGGTTTGATTGGGTGTACATACTGTACATAATATACAGTATATGTATACATTATATTATAATTTATATTCTATGTAATAGAATAACTGAAGGATGCTGATTCACCCCCTATATAGATCAAGGTAAGTTTATGATAGAAAATCCCACACATACTGTTCATGCCATGAAATTAATTAAATGAAGTGCATCTTTAATGTTAAAATGGTGAATCTTGCCTAAGTACACTATGTGTGTGTTAAGGAGCTGCTGTATTAATCCTACCACTGATCTGTCTTTATCTCATCAAGCTTAATTAAAGGCTCTGTTGTAATCACAGGGTCCCTGCTCCGCAGCATCTCCAGGCATATTAGATAAATTGTTTTGAAAGAATTGTTGAATAAAATAATGGAGTTCTTCTTTGTTCTCCTCAAAGAAAAGAAATGCCCTTTTCATTGTGTGTAGGTCATAAAGAGCAGCTGACCAATGGGTGAGCCTCATTCGGAAGGAATGTCTAAAATCTCATTTCCCAACTTGTCTTCCTTAAAGTGCCGGAGGTTCAGAGCTGTAACAGCGAGGCGATGCCTCCTCTGACTGACTGACTGACCCGAAGATGCTTGCTTCAGATAACTGCATCTTTTCACAGTGGTCCTGGTATGCTGTCATGAGAATAGCATGAGCTTTGATCCATTTTGAAGAGACATGACTTCCCTGACAGAGGAGGGTAACAGCGGCATGCTGGGGGACAGCTGAAAATGACTTCCAAAGGGATTTCTTCAGAACGCAAAGTGTTGGCTTGGGTATTAAATCATTCTGCAGCGGTGGAAGCTGCGTGACCAGCACCAGAATCCAGGCAGCATGGGTTACTGCCCTCAGTGGGGATATTCTTCTCAGCTTATATAGCTTGACTAAACAGTCATTAGGCTGGGAAAGGCAAGGATGTTCCAAAAATGCAATACACACACATGCTCAAAACGTGCCACTGCCTCCAAGCCACTAGAGTGACTGCCTGTGTTTTGAAGGACAGGACCCGATCTGATAAGGAAGGAATTTAGGGATTATGGAGAAACCACTCACAATCAAACTGCTAAATGCATCGGTTGTTAAGCCATTTACATGCTAATTTGGAAGGAATGTCAACTTCCCTCCTGTCACATCCCACTGCTAAGCTTTTTAATGAAACGAGAGTCAGGCCCACAAGCACTATAAATAATATACAAATATTTTCAGATGACAAAAAATTGCTGGTTGGGTAACTCTATCCCAGACCTATCCTATCATTCCTCCAGCCAGCCTCGAGCTGTTGTATGCCCTCTCCATTTTTCCACAAAACAGTGTCCTTATGAACATCTCATTAA